ACAGTCGAATGTGAGAAGAATAATCGACTGTGATTGGTCAATTTCTTACTCTTACTTCTTACTCCGTGTATTGTAGACGACGCCTGAAACCCTGTGCTTCTGCCAGAATATAGCCTCACTTTACGAGTCTTTTACGACCATTTACTGACTATCAAGGGAGAAAAGGACAGTTTTCATCGATTTTTACAAGTGTTTTAAAGCGAACCCATCGTTTAATTTCATCCAAATTGTCTTTGTTTACAAATGGCATCGTGCGTAAATTAACGTGTCATTCCTCGCTTCTGACGTTACGATTCCAACATGGCCGTCGCGACTACTCAGGAGCCTTAAGAAGCAACGGTATTAAATTTTACAGCAGACCATGATAAAAATACAAGGGTATGCTCATCAATTGTCTAAAACTCGTTCAGCTTGCGCATGTCCTTGCCTACGTCATATTCGGGTACGCGTTGATTGGTCGGTTCTGATTCGGGTGCAATCGGTGGTTATCGGTCGTAATTTATCATGGCGTCCATGGCGTAGTGCACGTTGTCATCGGTAGAAGTTAATGTTAAAAATATTTTCACGATGACCTGCATAGTGAAAGGATGCGGCAATTATATGAAAAAAACAAAAAAAACTGAGGGAAGTAAAATTAAATATTTTACCTTTCCAAAACAATCTGAAATTGCTGAACAGTGGCGTAAGCCACTCGTTGTGACGTAAACAAGGACAAAAATCTGATTGGTCATGCGCATGAGCATACCCTTGTCTTTTTATCATGCAGCAGACTACGTCTTAGCACTTTTGCCAGAGTACACGTTTGCTTTGCGCTCTTCCTGTGTAACTCATGTATATACGCGAGTCGTAATGTAAATGTATCGAGCGTTTCCTATAATTAAAAAAAAACAAGATGGGCAAAACGACGCGAGTAAGACGAAAACGTCCTATCGCTAATTATATCCGAAGAAGTAATTACTTTCTTCCGTGTTCAATGATCCGCGATAAAAGCCTAACCTACACATACCGATAAGCTTTCTTGACGAAGAAACGAAAGTGCTCACTGATGCATGACTCGAATTGCCATGTCTTTTAAACACCCTCAAAAAAGAGCTTGAATAACTGGACGCATTTCATGGCCCATAATATTACCGGAAATAGATGCAATACAATCGAAAATGATCGAAGCTTACATTTTTAACTACTAATCTCACGGGATGCTTAAAACTTTGCAATACTGTGCTTCGATTATGATAAATATTAATTAATATCGTATCGTGCTGCTTGTAGAAATCTATGATAAGGATGATAATGAACAGAGTAATATTTATCAGGAATTAATATTAGATAAAAGTTGTTGCAACATTATTTAACATTGAATTTTTTAATTGGTGTTATAATAATGTTTGTGTGTTATTATGTGCTCTTTCCTATTTCTCAATAATATTTAATTAGATGAATCTTCAAGTAGTAGTTAAAGGTCTGTCTTTTCAAGATTAGTACGATTTTATCGGTATAATCAATAATGTATTCCACGTTTACAAAAGTTATGTTTTTTATTTTTTTCCAATCTATGAAACAGCCATTTTTAAAACAACTTTAATTTTACAAAGTTTTAGATTTCTAAGGTATTTTGTAAATTACAAATAAATCGCTTACTTGAATTTTGTAACAAAAGGGAACTTATATGAATTAAATCTATTATATCTAAAAGCTCTCTTAGGAAGAGAAATGGAGACAGAGAAAGAGAGAAAATTTTGGTCCTTGTGGCCGAAATGTAGTACCTGTGTGCATTATACTATTAATAGACAACATTGTATTTCTAACTGAAATGGGAATTACATAAATTTATACTCTCCTCTTCTCATTAGTGAAGCACGATGGGATCATTACAATGTATGTATTTTACATCATGTAGAACTTTAGTATTACGCTTAACTTTCTAGGCATGTGATTTCCACATGTATCACAATTTCCATGAAGTTACTTTTCTCTTGTTGTCTATTACTACGAGGATTCTGTACTTACGCCATACAATGCTCATTTGTTAATCATTCTTCTTTTATTTAACTCGCAATTAATCAGATAGGACACTTCAAGTATTTCATGAAAATTTTAAAAATACACAACTGATGTGCGGTACCGACGTAACATACATAAATATAAAGTAATTACGTAATATATAAAATATTTATACAATTAATGTAATTCTAATTGCGATCAATAATTTGAAAATATTTATAACAAATTTTGAAGTTTGAACATGCCACGTGTGTTCCGATAAAATTATGTATCCAAAAATAAGAAATTTCTAAATTATTTCTCATTTCTCTCTCTTTCTTAAGTAATTTTATAATTCGAATTAATAAAATTATTAGAAATAAGTGATATACTCAAATATAAAAAATATTATATTTATTATAGTATATTAAAAAATATTTGATCAAACATTGAGACAGTATTTTTTCTTAAAAATCTAAAATATTTTATGCGCATTGTTACTTTATATTGTTACATAATAAATAATAAAAAGTACATCTACTTGGTACAACAATTACTTTATGAAGTATTCATTAATCGAAAGAAAAAATTTTACTAATTGATCAATCAATAGTCAAAATCGCAAGTGTATAATATTACCCAAGTTAATTATTATCAATTAACTTACACTTATTGTTTAACGTCTTTCCGAGCTTCCATCTTCTCCTTCTCATCGTTTCAGTTCGTTTATGACACATACTACAATCACTCATGAAAACACGATTAATTTGCGATCAAACGTAATTTTTCACGGCACTCTCAACATTAACCGCACGCGATGCACATTTCGTTGCATTGCGACGGAAGAATATTACAACTAGAGTATCATTGCGCAAGGTTTTCTACCCTCGGCTTTCATCTCGTGACGTAATAGACGACGGACTCGGACGGTGTGATGTGAAGAGAGTCAAAAATCGCGCGGCCAACTTCACGCTTCGCTCGCCGCGACAGGTCTGTTCTTTATTCCTGCACTTTATTCCTGAATAACAAACAAAAAATATAGTAGGCTGATAAGAGTCAGCGACGATAAACAGCACAAGTGTTATAGTGATCAATGAATGCTCAAAAAATAGATTGATGTCTTTTTTATTTGAATGTTTCGACTCCCTTTGGAGTCCTCCTCAGCAAGAATGATACAATTCCAATTAGTTCACATGTCAGCAATGCTTAAGTCACTCGCAAATTGACAAAAATGCAGCGTTGATAATCATCACAGAACGTGACAAGAAACGTGAAGCTTTGTTGAACATCTTAAATATTAAATAGTGGGTATAAGTTTAGTGTTCATATCTGTGCGACACGTTGTCGTTATCGGATGTTACGTATTCATGCGTCATTTCAGAGTTCGCGCGTGGAGGCACGCTCGGGAGTATGCGCGCGTTCCCTCAACGCCTTGACGCATGGCGTCTGTATGGCGTTGCACGCCCTATTTCGCGGCGCTGCACGCCCCTCTAGTAGCGCACCTCGCCCGATTTCCGGGCGCTGCTGTCCTCCCTCACGGAAGTGTTCCGAGAGCGGCCATGATACTTTCCGTTTTGCGTTTTGGCAAGAACCTCGTGTGTACGAAGTGTCCGAGACGGGCTGTGAACGATTGACCGATTATTATCCTAATCATAATTGTGTCGGAGACCTTGCGAAGCCCTACGATAGGGCGGAGAGAGAGAGTTGCGAAGCCCTACGATAGGGCGGAGATACACGCTTCCAAGTCGTGTGGGATTAACCTCATATATCCAACGAGTGGATATACAAAGAAAACCCTCTGAGGTTGATCCCGTACGTCCAGCGCGTGGATGTACATAGAAAAACCGCTGAGATTAATCTCATATACCCAGTGAGTGGGTATACAAAGCTACACCTCTGAGATTAATCTCATATACCCAGCGAGTGGGTATAAGTAGACCCTCGATGCCCTACGATAGGGCGGAGATACACGCTTCAAAGTCGTGTGAGTACTCTCGATTTTGCGTTATCTTTCTTTCTAATCCGGAACGTTACTATAGGTTACATGGACTATTACAATAGTTAGTGATGACCAACCGACGGAGACGCCATTTTACCGCTCCCGCTGAATGGTACCAAGGACATTAAATGGACGAACTTCTTCCTCACTGAGTTCAAGGGCCTGTATGCTGCCATCATCGTCCTCTACAGGCAACATCATCTGACGCTTTACGCTGATATCAAGCACCGATTGAATCTCTCTTTGTCTTCGATCATAATAGTTATAAGAACGATAAGTATCATAGGCAATATAATGAAATGTATGGAAAACCGTGGTGACGATATAACGCGAACCAGAGAACTGTGACTCGTACAGATTTTCAAATGTAGATACAGTGAATTCGATCTGTGAATAGCGAAACGGTTCCGTCTACCGATAGTCGTCACTGTCCTCTAGCGACAAGAGGTATTATCGAATCTATTCTATCAGCATAATAGTATCAATGCTTGTAATTAAAGGAGATTATAATGCAATTTATTATTCTATTTAATCTTCATTGCTGTTCAACATTCACCGGGATATAACATTTATTTTGCATACAATAGTTAATTTAAGTCTGTCACATAAGTTAGCTTTGCTACTTTTATGCTGAATTATCATAAATTAAATGCCGATAAACATTTATTTCGCGTAATGGATTAACATGTTTCATAAAAATAATTGATAGATAAAAAATAAAAGGTGATGGCTTTATTGTTTCCTTGATCGGCGCATTCCGTTTACTAGCAATCCTCTATATAATATAACATATTGGTCCTTCGAGCCGGATGCGCTGGTTTGGGGAGCGATGAGGCTGTCACATGTGGAAGCTCGTATAGAGCAGCAACTCGCGCTCGCTGATTTGATTGCTGGTGCATATGATTGTTTAATTAGTGTTGGCTTGAATAATGTAAATTTTCAGCGAATCCGGACGCGACTTGCTGCTATGCAAGAAGATTGGGAAAGGTTTTCCATTGTGCATGAAGCAATTATGAATGCCATAAAAGAAATGCTTCCTGAGGATAGGTTAGTCGCGCGGAGTCAACTATATTTCACAAATAACATGTTTGCCTCTACGCGCGAGCTCTATTTGGAGAACGTTGAGCGATTTAATTTGTTGATTGATGCCGATCGCGGAACCTCATTCGATTCGTCTTCTGTTCGTCTTGATGCTAATGCTCATTTCGGAAAGCCAAGTTATCATCAAACTAGATTACCGCGAATAGAGCTGCCAAAATTTAATGGCACTTCCGCAGATTGGCTTCCATTTAAAGATTTATTCAATTCCTTGGTAATTGCCAATCCTAGCCTTTCTTCTGTGGAAAAACTTCAATATTTAAAGACTTGTTTGATCAGCCCGGCTGACCATCTATTAAAGAATATGGCGGTTACTGAGGGCAATTTTCAGAGATCTTGGGATGCACTAATTGCATTCTATGAAAATAAGAGAGTTTTAGTGAACGCTGCTTTGCATTCGTTGCTTAGTTTAAAACGCATGACTAAGGAATCCGCCGTAGAAATGGAACGTCTTTATACAAGTATCTTACAGATATATAGATCCTTGGAAAATCTTCAACGACCAGTTGATTCATGGGATGACTTCCTTGTCTTTATTGCGACACGTCTCGACTCGGAATCGGTGAAGGCATGGGAGCATCATTTGGGTGCTACTAAGGAACCACCTACTTGGTCACAGTTCACCGAATTCTTAATTTCAAGGCTTCGCTCTCTTCAGGCTTTCGAGAAGTCTCGCGCTGGAAAATCTCTTCAAGTACAACCAACAACAGCCAAAACTCATTATCAAGGAAGATCCAGTCGGAATGACTCCAACAAGGAAAACGGTTGTCCTATTTGTTCGGGCAAGCATTATACATCATCTTGTCCTCAATACAGCACGAAGACGGTGCCGCAAAAGAAGCTAGTTATAACCAAGTATAAATTATGCTTTAACTGTTTGGGCTCCCATCGAATCGCAGATTGTAAATCAACCAGACGCTGTTTTAAGTGTGGTCTCCGGCACCACACCACTCTACATGCAGGACCTTCATCTACCATATCAATTAAGGAGGTCGGTAAGGCGTCTGATAAACCTGCCACCATCAAGCAGCCAACTGACGAACCTCGGACTGCAATATCAGCGGTTACCTCCATTGCGCCCAGCCATAGAGTATTATTAGCTACCGCTCGAATACGAGTGACATCTTCCAATGGTCACACGACCATAATAAGAGCCTTGATTGATCAAGGATCGGAAATCTCTGTAATTTCGGAGCGAATTGTTCAACGATTAAACATGAAGAGGAACCGTTCATCTCTTTCATTGATTGGAATTGGTGCTAAAACCTCCAATAGGACTAAAGGTGTTGTCAACGTTACACTCAGTCCACATTTTGAATCTGATTTTAAGTGTGAGGTCGACGCTTACGTACTGGTTAAACTTACCTCATTCGTTCCGTCGGTTCATGCCGGTCATAATTGGTGGCCGCATTTGGAAGGCTTACAATTAGCCGACCCTGATTTTGCTCAACCTGGATCGACCGACCTTATTCTAGGTGCGGATGTTTACGGAACCATTCTACTTGAAGGATTAATTAAAGGCTCTTCCAAAGCTCCGATTGCTCAATATACATCCTTCGGGTGGATAATATCCGGCTCTACAGGCCTTCCCATGGACCACGAGAGTGCCTTGAGTGCTCATGTGGGGATGGAGGAGGATGCGAGCTTAATTTTGCAGAGATTCTGGGAATTGGACGAAATACCGTCTTCCAAGGATTCATCTTTCACTCCAGAAGAGCAAGCATGTGAGAATCATTTTCAAAGGACGCACTCTAGAGATCAACAGGGTAGATACGTAGTAAGATTGCCATTCAAGGAGTCTACCAAGCGCCTAGGTGACTCAAGGAAAAGGGCCACATGCCTTATTCACAAATTAAAGCAACGTCTCGAATCGAACCCTACCTACTCTAAAATGTATTCGGATTTCATAAAAGAGTATGCTTTATTACAACACATGGAACTCGTACCGGATACTTCAATGGAACCATCTCACACCTTTTACTTGCCACATCACGGAGTCTTACGGGAGACTAGCCTGACTACAAAATTGCGAGTAGTCTTTAACGGATCTAGTAAGAGCACCTCAGGATATTCCCTGAACGATTTACTCTATGTCGGTCCTAAACTGCAGACTGATCTTTTCAACGTTTTAATATGGTTCCGCCAGTTCAGATACGTATTCTCATCTGATATTGAAAAAATGTTCCGGCAGATAAAGGTACATCACGAGGACTGGAGATATCAACACATTTTATGGATCAATGATTCGAATCATTTAGAGACTTACCAATTAACTACGGTAACCTATGGTATGGCATGTGCGCCGTTTTTAGCATTGCGTGCGATTTCTCAACTCATAATAGACGAAGGTAATCAGTTTCCTCTAGCAGTTCCAACACTTACTCAAGGTCGTTACGTGGATGACCTCTTTGGAGGTGCTGATACAGTCGAAGAAGCACAAGTCATTGTTCAACAAATACACCAGCTTTGCACGGCGGGCGGATTTCATCTGCAGAAGTGGACTAGTAATAGCTCTGAAATCCTAAGCTTTATTCCTGAGAAAGATCAAATCTCCCGGTCTTCAGTGCCCATTGAAGAAAATTTAATAGTCCACTCACTTGGACTGGCTTGGCACCCGGGGACCGACAGTTTTCAATTCAACTTTCAGAATACTTCGACGCAAATTCCAACCAAGCGGATTGTGTTGTCGACCATTGCAAAATTGTTTGACCCCCTTGGACTTCTTTCTCCAATCACTATATTAGCCAAGATCCTTATGCAAGAGATCTGGACCTTGCGTTTACAATGGGATGAACCACTTCCTACAAAGGTGGCAAACAAATGGCGTTGCTTCGTTAACAACTTGCAGGACTTAACCAAACTCCGCTTCCCCAGGTGGCTCGGGTTGATATCACATCAACGCTTCGAAATACATGGATTTGCTGATGCATCTCCCGGGGCCTATGCAGCAGCAGTTTACAGTAGATCAATTACCAGTAATGGAACTGTTCATACGCAACTTATTTGCTCAAAGACGAAGGTTGCTCCTCTGAAACGTATGACGATACCGCGACTGGAACTTGCTGGGGCCGTTCTTGTAACCAAATTAGTAAAGCATCTGTTACAGATTTTAAATCAAGACAGTATCACGATTCTTCTGTGGACTGACTCCACTGTCGTCTACACATGGATTACGAACCATCCGTCACGGTGGAAGGATTTCGTGCATAACAGAGTCTGTTATATTCAAGAAGCTTTACCACAAGCACAATGGAGTCTTGTCTCAGGACGAGAAAATCCAGCAGATCTAGCCACTCGGGGACTTACACCCCTTCAATTAGCCGAGAAGGACTCCTGGTGGGTTGGTCCCACTTGGTTATCGAAACCATCAGAGTGCTGGCCTCGGAAGCCTACCACTTTGGAAAATGAGGAAGCGTGTGAAGAACGACCTCGTAATATATTGACCACTGGTGTCAATTGTGACAAAAGTTGGGATCTTTTGTACAGATATTTAACACGACTAATTAGAATTACGGCAAGATGTCAACGCATAATTAAACGTTTGAAAAAGGTTCCTAATTCCTCCTTGCTTCACCCTATCACCACTACAGAGTTGCAAGTTGCGAAACTTTTCTGGGTAAAACTTGTACAAGCTTCGGCCTTCTCTCGAGAACTTCAACTGCTTTCCACTGAACAATCGCTACCTTCATCTCATCCACTTAAACGACTCACCCCTTTCAAAGACCAGGAGGGTATTTTACGAGTAGGAGGACGCCTACAAGCATCATCACTTAATGTGGAGGCAAAACACCCAGCGATACTTCCGAGGTATTCGCCACTATCCGATTTGATTATCGCCGATGCTCATCTTCGAACATTGCATGGTGGAACACAGGTTACCTTGTGTGATTAGAGAACAATTTTGGATTATTGGAGGCCGTGTTCCGGTAAGAAGTCACATACTCAAATGCGTCAAGTGTGCGCGATTCCGATGTGAACGAGCACAACAATTGATGGGTCAATTACCCAGAGAGCGAGTAAACCCGTCTCGTCCATTTTTGAATACCGGCGTCGATTATGCCGGACCCTTTGTGCTGAAGACATGGCGAGGAAAGAACGCTCGCACTTACAAGGGTTATATTGCTCTCTTCACTTGTTTTTCTACTTCTGCCATTCACCTTGAGATGGTCACCGATTACACGACTGATGCCTTTATGGCTGCATATAAAAGATTTACCGGGCGCAGAGGAATCTGTGCCACCCTTTGGAGCGACTGTGGCACCAACTTCAAGGGTGCGGACGTTGCATTGAAGAAATTGTTCTCAGAAGCGACAACCGAGGCAAGATCTCTCGCCACTTTGTTAGCCAACGATGGCACACAATGGAAGTTCAACCCCCCTTCAGCGCCACACTTTGGTGGCAAATGGGAAGCGGGAGTCAAATTGGTAAAATACCATCTGCGCCGAGTAGTTGGAGAAACTTCGTTAACCTACGAGGAAATGACTACATTTCTAATTCAGATTGAAGCAATCCTCAACTCGAGACCGTTGACTCCATGCAGCGACGATCCAGATGATCTAAATGTATTGACCCCTGGTCATTTTTTAATAGGTTGCGCACCTACCGTTTTGCCGGAGTCGTCCCTCGAGGACGTAAAATTAACTCGTTTATCTAGATGGCAGCTGATGCGGAAGATGATAGACAGCTTTTGGACTAAATGGTCCAGAGAATATTTACAGAGATATCATGCTATATCTAAGAGGCAAGATAATACGAGCACTATCGTTGAGGGTACCGTAGTATTAGTACTCGATGAAAGATACCCCCCCGCTAAGTGGCCAATGGGAAGAGTTATTGCGGTTCACCCAGGCGATGATGGGTTAGTTCGAGTTGCTACCGTAAAGACTCTAACGTCTACCTTAACGAGGCCTATTGTCAAATTGTATCCACTTTCTGTCTCCATGGAAAGGTCCTAATTTATTCGTTTACTACATTAACGAAGGCGGGCGGTATGTTACGTATTCATGCGTCGTTTCAGAGTTCGCGCGTGGAGGCACGCTCGGGAGCATGCGCGCGTTCCCTCAACGCCTTGACGCATGGCGTCTGTATGGCGCTGCACGCCCTATTTCGCGGCGCTGCACGCCCCTCTAGTAGCGCACCTCGCCCGATTTCCGGGCGCTGCTGTCCTCCCTCACGGAAGTGTTCCGAGAGCGGCCATGATACTTTCCGTTTTGCGTTTTGGCAAGAACCTCGTGTGTACGAAGTGTCCGAGACGGGCTGTGAACGATTGACCGATTATTATCCTAATCATAATTGTGTCGGAGACCTTGCGAAGCCCTACGATAGGGCGGAGAGAGAGAGTTGCGAAGCCCTACGATAGGGCGGAGATACACGCTTCCAAGTCGTGTGGGATTAACCTCATATATCCAACGAGTGGATATACAAAGAAAACCCTCTGAGGTTGATCCCGTACGTCCAGCGCGTGGATATACATAGAAAATCCTCTGAGGTTAATCTCATATACCCAGCGAGTGGGTATACCAAGCAAAACCTCTGAGATTGACCTCATATATCCAGCGCGTGGATGTACATAGAAAAACCGCTGAGATTAATCTCATATACCCAGTGAGTGGGTATACAAAGCTACACCTCTGAGATTAATCTCATATACCCAGCGAGTGGGTATAAGTAGACCCTCGATGCCCTACGATAGGGCGGAGATACACGCTTCAAAGTCGTGTGAGTACTCTCGATTTTGCGTTATCTTTCTTTCTAATCCGGAACGTTACTATAGGTTACATGGACTATTACAATAGTTAGCGATGACCAACCAACGGAGACGCCATTTTACCGCTCCCGCTGAATGGTACCAAGGACACTAAACGGACGAACTTCTTCCTCACTGAGTTCAAGGGCCTGTATGCTGCCATCATCGTCCTCTACAGGCAACATCATCTGACGCTTTACGCTGATATCAAGCACCGATTGAATCTCTCTTTGTCTTCGATCATAATAGTTATAAGAACGATAAGTATCATAGGCAATATAATGAAATGTATGGAAAATCGTGGTGACGATGTAACCAGAGAACTGTGACTCGTACAGATTTTCAAATGTAGATACAGTGAATTCGATCTGTGAATAGCGAAACGGTTCCGTCTACCGATAGTCGTCACTGTCCTCTAGCGACAAGAGGTATTATCGAATCTATTCTATCAGCATAATAGTATCAATGCTTGTAATTAAAGGAGATTATAATGCAATTTATTATTCTATTTAATCTTCATTGCTGTTCAACATTCACCGGGATATAACATTTATTTTGCATACAATAGTTAATTTAAGTCTGTCACATAAGTTAGCTTTGCTACTTTTATGCTGAATTATCATAAATTAAATGCCGATAAACATTTATTTCGCGTAATGGATTAACATGTTTCATAAAAATAATTGATAGATAAAAAATAAAAGGTGATGGCTTTATTGTTTCTTTGATCGGCGCATTCCGTTTACTAGCAATCCTCTATATAATATAACATCGGACATGGGTTTAAAAATGCGTGATTTTATTAAAAAATTGTAATATACCCACTATTTAATATTTAAGATGTTCAACAAAGCTTCACGTTTCTTGTCATGTTCCGTGATGATTATCAACGCTGCATTTTTGTCAATTTGCGAGTGATTTAAGCATTAATTGCGGACATGTGAGCTAACTGGAATTGAGAAAAAATAAAGAAGACATCAATTCATTTTTTGAGTATTGATTGATCACTATAACACTTGCGTTGTTTACATCGTTGACTCTCATTAGCCTACTACATTTTTTGTTTGTTATTCGAGAGTCCTTATATTATTATTGTTTTTGTTTTATTCCTGAACTGATTGCATGTGGCGCAGGAATAAAGAACAGATCTAGTACTACTAGAGCACTGTAAAATACACACTAAAAAATCGTGCGTCCATATGTAGAATTTTTCTTGTGTTACCACATTTTGATTATTACTTCAATGTAAAATTAACATACAACTGATATGTTATTATTTTTTGTAACATTTTGATGTGTTAGATTTATGTCACCTTTCTAACTTAACAATTGCGTATGTCAATTAAAAATGGAATATTATTTTGAGTGTTTTTAACATAATCGTTTCAATTAATCTATATATCTCAAAGTCAATTTAACATCTAAGAATTGTTTCATTCACATTATATACGAACAAAAATGTTTTATTAACATTTTTTTACGAGTTACTGCAACTACTCTTCTATGTATACTCTACTTATTTTATACAGGGTGGACCATCTGAAGTGATCCAGTCAAATATCTCGAAAACTAGTAGGGATAGAGAAAAATGTTTCGTATGAAAAGTTTAGGGTTACACGG